GCGAATGCGATTATGGTCAAAAGTTAATTAAACCCTAACTTAATTTAACTTTTATCCTACAAAAGCTACCCACGTAGTGCTTAAAGCATGTACGGTACTTCTGTCGATAAGATTAACTCTCAAACACTATAACGCACTGCGGTCCAACAAATTTAACAACTTCCATCGATTATTTCCAATTTTCTTTTTATATAATGTGTTTGTGTAATATTTAATAATTTAAAAGCATTTCTCGAAGGTTCAAAAATACGAAATGGAAAACATGATTTAACAATTTATAAATATACAAAATTTCTTTTCTCTACAGAATGTTATTGAAATGTCACTGCTGATTCTAAAAGCTAAAAAATTTAGATCATCATTATTGCGTGGTATTACAGAGTATAGTCTTCAAGTCTGCTTATAGAATACGTACCTGCTGCAGCACGTGCACGCCGTTCTGAGATATATCGTACGGATTGTTATCGACGAGCACCAACGAAGCCAGACACGCAGTCGCAGAATTATTCGGGACCAGCATCAACCGCATAAACAACGACCGACATTTTATTGCACAAAGGTATACAGCGTACTAAAATTTTTACTCTAATCATGTTACCTCATCGAATACTGTCATAATTGTTATATTTTTAGGTATTCAAATGATTTATGGTCATATTAATTTAACTAATTAATAGGACTCCTCATAATTAAAATAATGATAAACAAATAGATTAATCCAGCTAACGCTAAATATTCTTGAAATATGTGTAAAATGTTTCTAAAATTCCAAAATAACATTCCAAAAGTATTCTGGAATATTTCGAAATATTTACAGAATGTAAAAGCAACAAATAATCGTTAAATGTTCTATTCATACATCGTTCCATATTCACAGAATGTTCCCTGTGTGTGTGTATATATATATATATGTATATTCCGCAAAATTATAATTTTCTTAAAAATTTCAGATTCTGTGATCTCTGAATTAATTTTTAAATAAAATTTTACTGTCACAAACACATTTCATGTACTTTCACCTTGAAACCTAATTTTGAAGGCTTTTTTCACAGGCCAAATGCTGCGCTCTTTATATTCTTTATGTGATTCTTATTTAAGTGTTAATAATGCATCTCCACCGCAGCCCTCTGTGTGTGTCAGCGGAGGTGTATACTGCTCGCGAGTAATAATATCACAAATTAATTGTAATCACAAACAATTTAATATCATTGATGGTAGTAAAGCATCTTTAAAAACCTATAAATTTTATTGCAAAAAATATTACCTCAGCCGAGATTCGAACCTGGATCACAGCATCAATAATATTAAATTGCTTGTCAACTTAATTTATGGTACTGCTTCAACTTCGATTCAGAATTGTATTTCAAGATAAACAAATAATCGGTGTATAGTTTGCTCAAACTGAAAATTGTATAGTTAAATTCACAAGAAGTATTATATTATAAGCACGAAAAACCATCTTGACCTAATATGGCATTTTTCACAACATGTATTTAATTCCATCAATTAATTTTCACTTAATAATATTAATTTCATTATTTTGTATTGTTTTTTATTCGCTGTCAATCAAAGCAATCTTTATATACCCGTCGATATCAATCGTAGGTTTAGGCCGCTGCCTATATGATAGGCATTTTTCTTTAATCTATAGCTATCCTTGTTTAACCTATAGTGGCCTAAACGTATGATGTAAACTAGTGATGATTCTTTAATAAGAGTCACGACATGAGAAAGTTGCACGTTGATTGATCTGTCATGTTTCAAGAATTCCCACTCTATATTTGCATAGGTACCTATATTCGTGTTACTTTTAAATTTCAACAATACAATTAAAATTAAATATTTTAAAGATGTTAACAAATAAATTTCTTTACATTACGTGTCGAAATAATGCATGCGAGAATTATTTAGTTTAACACCTTTTTTTTAACAAAATTATTTTGAAAATTTAAAGATTTGATTGTATATCTTGAAACGAAGTTAAAATTACAAAAGTGAATAAATTCACTGAAATATTTATAATTTCATTAATATCTAATAAATTTACTCAATTCTGTAACTTTCACCGCACGTTTCAAGATACACAATCAATATTCTGGTACGTAAAACGTAAAAAAAATAAAATTTGTTTATACCTTTAAAATTAATCTAATAAAGAGGCTCAATTGAATAGCAATTCAAAATTGTGTAATGAGAGAAGCTATCTGAGTCAAGCAAGTTTTCGTGTGCTAATTTTATATTATTGTATGATAACTATACTAAATATATACATTTGAACAATTATACCTTTAACATTTATTTTAATTATTTTACAAATTATTATGCATCGCCATTGATTTACTATCATATTTTTTACACGTGTACGTATACAACATAAGTACACGTGTTCCGTTACTGCAAGTTTATGATTAAGTTAGAGACACATTAAGGTTAAACGGAGATACAGTATATATCTCTCTCTGTTATAGATTTTACTCTGAAACTACTACCTTGCATACAAAAGTTGGCTCAAATCAGCTCGTGTCGCGACTCTGAGGCTGCGTTCCGTTGCATGCATAAATGCACATGATGTATCCTTGTTTAACACTTTGCGAACAACAAAGATAAAATGATACCTTATGCACATTATACGTGCAACGGAATGCAGCTTATTAGAGGGTCTCTATAGTGTAAAGTAGGCCACTGATGTAATGAAACAATTTATAATACAACCTTTGTTGCCGCATTTTTCAATACAAATTATCGATGACCCGCTAACAAGGTTCACACTATTTACGCTTGCTACTATGTACTGTAAAATGCATTCGTTACTTAAAGAGAGTGACCAAATTATTGAGATCACAGACATTGCAGATCGATAAAAATCTCCGAATTTACCGAATGAAATAAAAAATCCTTTTACAGGATTGAAGTATTAGACGCAAAATTGAGAGGTGCTGCAGTGGACTTTATACTAAAATCGAAAAAAAGAAGTTAAAAACTTACATTTTTTCAACTCATAAAGCTGTCACCTGACGTAGATGTTTCCTTAATACAAAAGTTTTATAGTTCATATAGACAGAACGACGGTTTTTGTTATAACGATATATATATAATAAATACATGTTTTTATATTTTATTAAAATTTATTAAGTTACATTTTATTTCATATTTTGGTACGTACGATATAGATTACAAGATAAATATACGAAACATGTCAGACATCCTGTCGAAACAGTAATCGACAACAATACAAACTTGTACAAAAGTATTTGTTTATTATTAGTCTTATTGCCTTGAAAATTTTATATGATTTATACATTTCTGACATTTATAAAATATCAATTCTTTTAATATCTATTTTAATAAATAAAGTGCGTCGGGGAAAAACCAGGATTGACAAATGTCCTCCTTTTTTGTTTTGAGCCAGTCAAAAACTGGTCAAAACTGGTTTCTCTCTATCTCTATCTTAACTCTGGATTGAGTTAGCTTAAAAACTATGTTAATAACGTAATGCAGGGAAAAATAAAAACTATTACTAAATTTTGCTCAAAATTGATTTTGATTGGGGCGGTTAAAACCAGAGGTTAAAAAACCTGTCTGATACTATTCATACCAACTCTGATTAAAACGGAAAACGTATTCTCAGTTTGGTATATTTCGCTGGATAATATTGAATCTGAATATATGCAATACGTTTTACATTTAATTTTAAACTACCTACTCTTTAAATGAATATATATTGATACTATCAGCATACATGTTTTTAATGACATTTTTATTTACGATATTGCGTTTCTGTACTAGTCGTATTATGCAACATATGACTAGCACGGAAACTAGAAACTCAAAACATGGAATTTTTGTCTTAAAGCGATCTAATGTTTCCAAAATTTTCATTTATTCGTTAGATATACGAAATGATACTCAGGGCTTATCTTATGAGTTTAATCAATCTAGCATCCATTTGTTAACAAAAAATAATGTCAATCATATCTTTGCATCTGAATTTTAACTCATTGTCTGTTAAAAATTTATTTGTTAAAATAGGAACCTCGAACGTACAGTATTCTATCAATATTCTATTGTTCTATTATCAAATATTGTCAGAGATAATCCTGAAAAAGAACCTGAGTACATGTTTTTATTCTTCGCAGGGCGACGAAGTTATCCCTTGGTGCAACCTATACCCGTCTTACGGTATTATTATATAACGACGATTAAGTACCATTATAGCCTATTGCTTGGAGATTTTTAAAAGGAACTAATTCTTTAATGTGCAATTTTATTGATTCATACGATCATATAATCAATAAGATAAAAAAAAGCTATTAAATAAGTGATATTTTTTGGAGTCAGTTAAATCTAAAGTGCCATTTTTCATTACTTTTAATATGTCTCGAAAACGCTTAATTTAACAGCATTTTTTTTACCTTATTTACATGTCGAATGATCCTATGAATCAATAAAATTACATTAAAAATTAGTTCCAAATAACAGTCGTTTTTCAGTTCCAATAGCTTATGTGTGCCTTCCAACAAGCGACACAAATGATACGTGTGACACAATGGATCATTACATCCTTGTTGTTTGCCAATGTTAAACAAAGATGACATGATTACTGTGTCGCACTATGTCGCTTGTTGGAAGGCACACTATTACACGAGCGCTATCATTCCTTCTGAGATCGCGACTCATTACAGCGGCGCGGCGCGCGGCGGCGGTCACTGGCCCGGTTCGAGTTAATGAAAGATCTCGCGCAAGAGGCGCGACGGAAAATTCACTCTACCTCTGTTCATTATGAGTGCCGAAGTTGTACCCGGCTTGAGTAAAAACGGCTTTTTCAGTCTCAAAATCGCGGAGCGTTGGAAGTCGTAATCACCGCGATACGGCTTAACGATCTTTGGTCACACTTACTTTTACGCCCATCTACTCAATTCTGGAAACACTTATTTCACGAAACCCTTCGACAAGCCAGTTGGTAATTTGCTTCTGTTCTTTTCGTTATCTTTCTCTTTTTCCTATCGTCGGACGATGTGGCGAAAAGATCGGCCGGTCGAGATTAGATCATTGTTCCGCATCCTGCAACATGTCAGTTTGATAATCGACGTCCTGTCGCATGCATTAATGTAGAACAATGCACCCACGCTAAGAATGATAAGCTGCGACTACAATTAGCGTTCGAAAAGAAGTGGATTACGACCGTTTATTCAAGAAAGTTCGATGTCACACATATTTTTCAATGAATTTGAGTATTAATTTTAACAAAGAAGCGAATTAAAAATTGAGTTTCCCATTTGGTTGCATATGTTGTGTAATTTATCTTTTTTTTTTTAAATTCAATTTAATGACAGATTATTAAGCAAAACTTTATTCTTTTATATGTTTTCTGTTTGATATACGAAATATTACATAAAATAATCAAAATATTAATAGTATATTGTTTTTCCCTAAAATAATCGCGTAAATGCCTTTTCTTTTCTTTTTTTCCCTATTTCTGCAAATGTTCTATTATTTTCTGTTGTAAGTGACTATTGTTTACAAGAATGGTCGTTCTTATCTCAGTTGCATAAAATAGCCCGCAAAAGCAATCTGCATGGACAATGCCTACGATTCGCGCGCGTGTATTATTTCCATCTCAAGATATACACGCTCGTTTATGACTCATTCATTTATGTAATTTCTTACTGTATTCTTCCGGATGCGTGTAGAGATTATTGTGGAAGATAACAACGTAATCGATGCATCCCGCTCTAATTACACGCGAGCGTAACTTCGCATTAGGTTCTAGGAAGCGAATAAGCGCACAGATCTAACGACGGCCTTTTGATGCATCGAATCGCGGTTATCCTGGATGTTTTGAAGATATGTACAACATATAAATAAGATAGCAATTGTTGAGAATAAAAATTTCAGGGAAAGAAAACCGCGTTTGTAAGCAACGCTTTATTTGTTTATTTATTTATTTATTTATTTGAGAATAACGGAAAAGAAGTATCTCTCACGTTTGTTTCAAAGATATTTTTTTATCCCAAAGTGGCCATTAAGATAGTTCTTTAGTAAATCGAGTTATAATAGAAATGCATAATTTCTTTATATAATTTAATTTAATTTAATTTAATTTAATTCAATTTAATTAATTGTGTATATATTTTTAGAATTACATTTTTTAGAGTTACATTTATATTTATATTGAAAGGTACAGAAATAACTAAATACACAAGAGGTGAAGCGCCGGCAACGAACTGCTGTTATATAGGCATACCGGAAGAATACTAATAGTAGATAGATAGACAGTCTACAATATGACGAGACAAATATGATATACGACCAAGCTTATACATTGAATATTTTCAATATAATAGGAAAATGTAAAATATAATATTCATAATAATAAAATTGCAGAAAGAGAACAAAGTTAACAATGATTTAATAACAGAAAATTGGCCACCTTAACGCGAAAAAAAAACGAGGAGGAAAAGGGAATAGAAGAAGGTAACATATTACAGTATTTGATTGATATATAAGAGAACAAAGCTCTGAATTTGGCGGAACGATGGAAGTGAGAGGATAAATAATTGTGATAACGGGTATCTGGAGTGGAACGGGAATGGAAGTCGGAATTGTAGTGAAGAAGATTATATAGATAAAGCATTAGAGCGAAGAAGTCGATAAACAAGACAACATAGATGGAGAATAAAATGTTGTTGGATTTTTAACCAACTGGAGCTTAGATATAATGGAGAAATGTGATCATCTTTGCAAATATTATAAGAAAACGGGAGTTCTGTATACGCTGAATACGCTGAAGCATTCGCTGAGTCAAAGCCGGAATGTATAATGCTGTATCGGAGTAATCGAATAAGAAGATTATAAAAAGTTGTGATTCAAGAAGTTTTTGCGAGGTTGAAAGGATGCGATGAGAGAGATATAAGAGACGAAGGCATAAGAAAACAGACCAACACTTGGTAATGACATAATCATTAAATGATTACGAGGAATTAAAGTAGATGTCAAGTATCTTTATGAAAGTGGCACAGAATTAATGCAAATATTGAAAGAAGGAAGACGAGACAATAATAAGAAGGAACCTACAATAAGTAGGAAGGATTCAGATGTAAAGCATTTGACGAAACCCATTCCGCCACGGAGTGGAGATCACGGTTTATAGCCATAAAAGCGGAGGAAACTTTAGATAAATGAAAAAAAAATGCAAAAGAACTACACCATCAGCATACATGTAGAGTTTAGATGTAAGTGGGGATAGAAGCGAGATCAGCAATAAACGCGGTGAATAATAATCCGAGAACGGAACCTTGGGGCACTCCAGATGAAACAATACGGGGAAGAGAGAAAGTGGGAAACAGATCCTACAGCAGGACTCTCTGGGAACGATTTGTAAGGAAAGAACTCATTAGGAATATGGCAAAAACGGATAGATCAAGGGAACTAAGCTTGACAAGAAGCTGGTTAACTGTGTCGAATGCTTTCGAAAAGTCAAAAGCAACTAAATTTTCGGCACCCCAGATTTTCGGCACTTTACTAAAGAACCATCTTAATTGCAACACATAGTTTTTTTCTCAACAAATTGCGAACGTCTCGTTTGGTTGTAAATTAAAGAGACACGGCACAAAAGTGACTATAGAGGTAACTACAGAAGATACAAATCACAAGAAAAACTGCGCGAGTTTAAATTTAACGTTTCAATAAGGTCCTGTTTTGTTTATACAATGTCAGATGAATCTTCCGAGAATTTATAATGCATTTTTCGTCATATCTTAAATCTTTCTCCTTTTACAAAAGTACTTACTGCAGACGTTACAGCGTTTCTCATCGGAACCATCGCCACATCCATCTCGACCGCTACAAGTTATCGCATCAGAACGACATCTTCCATTGTCGCATCTGAACGGACAATATCTTGCGGTAATTCGACCCCGATTGCGCGTTCTGCATGCTCCCTTGGGTTCATCGCTGCCGTCCCTACAGGAAACTACTGCGTTGCAAAATTCATATGCTGGCAAACACTGACCATTGTTGCATCTGAACGTACCTTCGGGACATTCTGTATAGATCAAGAAATCTTACGTGTATATTAAAGTAAAACTTCACGAGTACGTATGTAAGGCGGAACATTTGTTTTTTTCAGAAAAGTAGAATATACAATAACAATTATATTAATGAATCATTTAACTATTCTTATAACTCTGCTAAGAAATCGTTTTAATTTTTAATTGTGTCTATTGCTCACATCTGTTTTACTTTGAAAATTTTTTAAGGAGATGCTAGCGCGACGGCCGGACTTGATCGACATTGACAGCATAGATTTTTTTAATTTCAAATTTAAAATGTCGATAATAGTGGTATCTTTAATTGATCTATTACATTATTGTTCTGTCTCGAATACATATGTCGGTTTTTATCTAACATTGCACGCCATCTCTTGCAAAATCAAGCATCTATTACTAGACACAATTGCTAGACACGTGAATTACGTTTAAACATTTTTTTCTAGACTTTCAATCTAAGTTCTACATACTCAGTATTATTCGTTCAAGTAATCTGAGGTCCACTGGATACTTATGCTACTCATATAAATTATAGAACTTTTATATTAAGCAAACTTTAAATCAGGTAACAGCTATACGAACCAAAAATAAGTTAATTTTTTTATTTTTGTGCATTTTTTGCGAAATCGGCATACCCTTCCTATTTGTATTTTAATTCTGTAAAAAAAGTCCATAAAGATAGCTCGAAAATTTTAATTGCACTGTAATTCATGATAATTAACGCGCGTGGTAATTGTCCTTCATCGCGCTAGCATTCGTTTAAAAGTGTAAAAAAACAAAAATTTTTAATTTTATAATAAAATATAAATTATTACAATAGTACGAAAAATGAAAAAGGTGATATTATGAAGATTCTCCAACTTAAAAAAGTAAAGGGGAGCCACGTGACTTTTCTTATCTTAACACGAGAGCACAAAATATAAAAAATGTCATTATCGTCTTCTGAAAAATAAATAATAAATCAAATTTAAGCAGTGAAACTATAATTTGTTATTAAAAAACTTTTTTATAATAATAAATATTTATGTGAAGAAGATATTAAAGAAAAGTTATTTATAGTATTTGTTTAAATTTAATTTAGACATTGATAATTGTAATGAAAACATTGCCACGTTTTCATTAGTATAAAGTCATATTTAAAGAGAATTGAATAATTCATATTCTTACACAAAAATAATATAATGAAACTTTAGTTTTTTAATTGTAAAATGTTTTTTAAACTCCATTTCTTTAAATCTATATGACTCTTCAAAATTCTTATATTTTGTTACAATTATTTAAAACCCTCCTTTTCATAAGAATTTAAGTTATTTTAGAAAATCATTCAAAGAAAACTGTACGATTAAAAAATCTAAAAAAA